GAATTTTACATGGTCGGTTCGTATGCTTACCTCTTAGTTCTAAAATTTGTTCATTATTAGAAAGCTTATTCATGGAATTATAAATGACTCGATCTTCTTTAGTTCCTAATGTATTTATAAACATTGTTTTACAAACCTTAGTTTTTAAAGCACTGTCATGATTCAAAGGCAAGAAGTAAATGAAAGTTGATTAAAACTACTTTTACGGATTTTATCGCGTTTTATTTATATTAATTTTAATACCCGAAGTTTCGGGTGCTTTCCAGTAGCCATGGTCACGGGGGGACTGATGTCACTCACCTCAGTCCCCCGTGACCATGGGTGCTGGAAAGCACCCGAAACTTCGGGTATTAAAATTAATATAAATAAAACGCGATAAAATCCGTAAAAGTAGTTTTAATCAATGAATAGTGTTCGCGTAAATATAAGAAATCATTAAGTAAATGAAAGTATTAGTACGATCTCGTTTTCTATCCACTTTTATAACCTTTGGATTTGTTGATTCAGTATTATTTAAAATGAAATACCACTGCTTTTCATGGTTACCTATTTACCAGAACAAGTCAATAATTTTCTTTCGTACTTCATCAGAAAATTTTTCAAAACACTTCATTTTACATGGACACGGATCTTTCATAGCTTTTGCTAAACAAGGTTGTTTAGTTTTTTTTTACCTTCGTAAGCCTTACCTTTATTTTTATCTTTCTTACTCTTTACAGATATCCATTCACTAGTGTTTGATTTATTTTTCCTAGGCTTAAAATTTCCTTCATTTATTTGCGCAAAGGTTGAGACTTAGTGGCTTCAGCTGTATCAAAATTGTTTGTATCTGTAATATTACATATAATATCAGTGACAGTTGAATCAGTATTTGTAACAGATGAAGATAATGGGATTTCTGCGTTTTGTGGTAAATTCTTCAAATTGAGAGAATTTTCTTTAATAGAATTTGACGAAATATCTATTGAGGGCAATAATGGTTTAACTCCTTCGATTCTATTATAATAATTAACTTGGGATATTATATCACTATCATCAGCTAATTCTTTTGAGTTGTCAATAATGCTCATATTTGTGTAGATAATTTAAGGGGATGCAATGAAATCTACAATACTATGCATTTTTAGAGGGGTTTCAAATTTGAAGGTACTTTCTGAATCATTCTGAGGACTATTTATCATATCATGAATCAGCGACGAAGGCAAAGGAGAACATAGTTCTCTTACTAGACTTGAGGAACGACTTGTGTGATGACTCGGTAAATATTCTGATACAACTGGAGAATAAGGTTATTTCATATCACTTGAATTATTCTCCGTGTAGACTACCATGGCTGTATCTCGAGATTCACAACTTGTTGATGGTACAGGATTTTCATAAACATTTTTTAAAGTTTTCTTTTTGCTAGGTTTTTCTGCAACTGATATTAGTCAATCATTGACCATTCAAGAGCAAACAATACAATGCGACGATAAAGGCAATGTTGTTTGTCCAGATCAGTAACCTAGCCCAAATCCTATTCATATAATAAATGTGATATTTTGTTAAAAAAAAAGTTAAAGTTACAACCTATATACGTCTCACTCCTGGGCATAGACCTCCCCTTATTTCTTAGAGAGTTTTAAGACAAGGAAGTGTCCGCCGCGCTGCCCAAATGCGTGTTGGCGAACTCCAAATGTCTTTGAAATATTTTTTTATTTCTCTGACATGCAGGTTTCAGGTACGCACTCACTCACGTATTCGCGCTTAGCTTTCTTTCTTCCTTTCAAACAATTCTTAAGTATCCAAGCTTACGTGAATACGACATTTATATTTTTAGGGGAACAAAGCCGTAACCGACATTACACTTAAAAATTAAGACAATCACATTGCTTAATCAATCAAACAGCTTTTATTTGTAAATAAGTTTGTAACTTATTTATTGGTAATCGTGATAATTTGTGGGGAACAATAATTTTGAACAAGGAAAATTTATGTTAAAATGTTTACACGAATGACAACATTTAAAATTTTGTGACAAAAAAGACTTTGTAACGTTTAATGAAATTAATAATTATATTTCTTCAGATTTAAAAAGTTGTTAAGCTATTTACGTGTAGGTTATTTATTTATTTTCTACGTAATCCATAAAACTACTTTTTAGTCGATTTATTTCTTCCAAAGGCAAAAATGTACATATTACAAATTTTATCAATAATTCCTTAATACTAATAAGAAAAATTTGAAAAAAATTGAGCGTATGTAATTTGCGTTGCTCTTTTTGATGGTGTAAAAACAAACAAATCGACATAAGACCACTTATGCTCTTGTTCTTCTCAAGGTACGATATACCTGTCTTTGATACTGTTGGAACTAAAATAATAAAAAAATAATTTCTATATAATGTCTTACTTATATAGTGTATAGAAATCGGAGGCTAATATGTGGAAATTGTTTTAGGTATTCTTTTAGTAAATTGAAGTCGGCTTTACATTTTCACCCTATTGAGTATATTATAAAATATGTTCTAATTAAAAATATGTAGGTATTATAAAATATAATCATTTGATAAACTTTTATTCTGTATATATAATTCATCAAAATAACAATTTCATCAGTGTCGGCGGGGATTAGTGTTGCCAGGTCTAGCAAGTAAAATTTCGGGACGGAAGGTAAAAACAATCGGGGATTTGGTTTTCATATCCGGACAACTAGAATGACTACAAAATATAGGTTTCTTTGTAGCCTTTTGTGCTTTATTGAGAGCCGTGGTAGCTCAGATGGTCAACGCTAACTGTAAATATGCGAAGATGAAGAAGATACTGTAAAAATGCGAGTAATGCGAGAAATTGTGACTGTAACTTTACTTTTGTGCTTTATAATTATTATTCGAGTCTGATCTCATGAACGAATAACTTTTCATCCAAACATCGTAAAAACGGATTTTTTTTCATTTTAGGCAAATTAAAACATTTTTGAACTACTTGTTTTTTTTTTTTGCAGTCCCTTAATTTTTCAAATCACTAATTTTAATATAATTCTTTTTAAAACTTTTGTGTTTTTTTTTTCGACTGGTGAGACAATGTCGTAGTAAAAATATTTTAATGTGGTAGTAGCTAATAGATATAATCATTTTTGCTGTCAAAATTATGGATTAAAGTATAGAATACGAAGGTTAGTGAAAATCGGGACATTTGGCGTCCCGATCAATGATGAATCGGGACGTGTCACTAGACCTTTGAAAATCGGGACGTCCCGCGCAAATCGGGACACCTGGCAACACTAGCGGGGATCGAGCCCGGATTGTTCGCGTTTACGGCGAGCACTACGCCACGGTAATATTATCTATACAGTATTCCAACTTCATACAAACGCACGAAGCGAGAGCTATACCTACGCGCCTCGATCTCGGCATGCGCTCGGCATGCAGACAGTCGAGACTGTGCCGCAGTGATGATTTTGTGAAATATATTTAAAAAAAAATGGAGGAAATAAATATTAGAATAGAAATAAAGATATAATAAATCTGAACTTCATTTAAAAACAAACATATAAATTGTAAAGTAGCTGCAGGTATCTATAACCAATTATATAAAAGATACCGTAAAACCCGCCAACTTTGGCCTTTAATTCTAACGTTGGCCACTTGACAAAAATAACAAAAATTTGCTGTAGTAAAAAATATATCTCATATAGCAACATTTTACAACATATTGTGGAAAATAGAATATATTTCTGGCAATACCAATCATACGTTCGGTTACTAACAGGGTTGGATTTTGTACGATAATTATCGTATTTGTACGATAATTTGTCAATAAGTACGATATACTATCCTAATTTAATTATCGTACGCAAAAATACGATAATTTCTAGGTTGAAAAACTATTTTTTAAAATTAACCTAAAAAATATTTTTCTATACAGCAATATTGAACTCCGTATCAAATGCATAGACATAGATCACAAACTATAAGAAATGAGCGTAGAAATGTACATTTTATTCATTCATTTGGAATAGTGTGTAAACGATATACATTTCGGGAAAGTCCCGAGCATAAAGCATACTAGAATCTATGTCCTCTTATTATGGTTCATAAAAGATAGCTTGATCTCTGCGACAGCTGTCAGTAAAATCACGCCTATGAAGTCCTGAATTTCTTAGTAGTACAGACAGTACCTGCCAATGTCATACTTTATGGGCATGCCGACCTAATTAGTGCATGCCCATAAAGTATGTACATTTCTACGCTCAAGTTCAAACACTTTAGTTCTATTTCGCCCCGCGATTAAGAAACAACTAATACATATATTTTTTTTAATTTCTTGACTTTTGAACCCGAAGAGCAGTCTTAATGAAGTGCCACTGATAATGCTTTGGCTTTCACTCCAAAAAAAGCAGCGCCTAGTAAGAGGTGATTTAGTGAAAAAAGAGAAGCACCGATTACAAAAAATATAGAGTTGAGTGGGAAAATGAGCCAATATTTAGCAGGTGGGTGGCTCGTGACCAATTTGATGTATTTAAAGCACGGTGTAAAGTATGTGAAACATCCATAATGGATGAAAAACAAGTTCTAGTGAAACACTCAGAAGGTAAAAAGCACTTGAAAAATTTATCTGTAATACGTGGTTCCAAACCAGTTACGTCTTATTTTGCAAGTACATGTAGTTCGTCATCGGAACAAACACAAAAAAAATGCCAACTGTTACAGAGATCAAGCCGGCTGCTTATTTGGCCGAACATAACATACATTCAACGCTGCAGATCATCTGGGTAAACTGCTTAAGGAACGTTTCATAGATTCAAAGGTCGCAAAATAAATTAATCTGACTAGAAAAAAAAGTGCAAAAATAATATGCAATGTTACAGCTCCTAGTCATAAAACAGTTATGGTGGTTAAGCTCACAAATACAAAATTTAGCATCATGACTGATGAAACCACTGATATTTCCACCAACAAAACTTCATGTGTAGTTTATCCACAAACTAATAAGAGTACTAACGTGTAGTTATCAGATTCTATGATGAAACGGAAGGCAGAATTAAAAGACAATTTTGGAATTTGCATGACATCTATAGTGGCGATGATACCGAAACAGCAAATACAGATGCTACACGTGCTGCTATGCTTCATGGACAGAAATTACGTTAACAGATGTGAATTAAGTAACATTGATCCGGCAGATTCAAAACACCATTTAATTAATGAACAACTATATCTTGGAATCGCTGTTGCATCAAAAATCAACACTTCTGAAATAAAAGCAGGTAAACAACAGCGCACAGAGTTCCTGCATAGGTGTAAAGATTTTTCTGGTTGAAGCTGCCTTACAAATAAAGAAAAGATGGGATTTCGACAATACACCACTGATCAAAATATCCTTGTTGGGTCCGAAGAAAATCAAAATAAATGTTTTGCAAATTCTGGATGATCAATGGTGCAAACTACCCTTTGCAAAAATACCAGAAGAAATAAAAACTGAAAAGAAAGTAGATATATTTTGGGCTAAACTTAGTAAATGGAGATCTGACAGAAAACAAGCCTTTCAATGACTGCCCAATTCGCATTGGAATGTCTCGTGCTTTCACATGCAAACCCAGATTATGAAGATTAGTAAGATCAACCTTACCAAGTCAAGGACACGGAACAGACCTAGTAACAGGAACTGTAGATGCAATCTTACTGCCGTGCGATGCAATAAAACGCAACAAAAATGGCAATTGCACCGATTTTGAACCGACAAAAGAAATGTTACGAAGAGCCAATGATAAAAGTAATGACGGAATGCAGTTTAATGAACAAGTTGCAGAAATCGATAAAAGTATACCATAGTTCTAAGTTAGGTGATAATTTAAAGTTGTATAATTGATGAATAAATTGTACTTACTTTCTTATTTTTTTATTTATTAATCTTTTCAAGTGTTATAATTAAAAATATTATCATGTTATATTTTATTTCTAAGATATACGATCTTTTTTTAATAAATACTATATTTTTGAACGAAACGTACTATATTTTTTTATCTGTGCGATTCCAACACTGGTTACTAAGTTCACTCAATTAGCTGTCAACAGTTGTCAAATAGGAGTCTCTGCCGGTGGGCCCAAATTGTTCCTCGAGTATAAAGCTTTTTCGCGCTTGAAAAATGATCCAAGTGAGTGGAATTTTTGATATGATATTAAGTGAAATCTTGGTTTTAATATGGTGTACATCTCAAATCAATATGAGTCCTCTATTAATCAGTAGTTCAAATGGCCAATGTTACAATCACTTGTAGCAAACATGTGCCGTTAACTTTGGCCACAGAAAAATAATACTAGGGCTGCCCACTGATAATTTTAGAATTCGGTACCTACCTACTCATGAGTTGATGGTACTTTTTGCTTATAACTTAGTTTTACAATTAGTTTTGGTATAATACCTAGAATACAGTTTAAAATATGTATATTTGCTTATTATTTATGTCCATATATATTTACAGAATGAATACATCTAAGCCAAAATCAAGAAAAAAGCAAGAAAAAGTCGCAGGCGCCTTGGTGCCCGGCAATATAAAAATTATTCAAATGAAATGCTTGAAATAGCTGTAGATCTTGTTAGAAAAAAACAGATATCAGCAAGAGAGGCGGCGCGACAATTCGCGATTCCTAAACAGACAATATTAAATAAAGTAAACGTCAAAAAGTGTATGTGTAGGTAAGTAAAGTCTCATACAAAGTCTGTCGGATGTCCAACGCGATTATCTGATGACGAAGAAGCCAAATTTATTAAAGTTTTAATTGCTGCTGGGGAATTCGGATGCCCACTTTAACACAACTATTATGGATTGGGCAAAGTCTTTACCTGGTAAAAAGGTCATTATATGCGATAATTTATCAAGCCACTTAAATGTGAGTGTTATCGAATTATGTGAGTGTCACAATATTCAGTTTATTTTCATTCCATCTAGCTCGACACATAACACAACCCCTTGACGTCGCTTTTTTTGCACCACTTTGACAAAAAAGTGTGGCGAGCAATATTACTCAAGTACAAAATGGAAAATCCCAACCAAACTACTCCGAATAAGAATCATTTCCCAAAACTTTTACATTCTTTAGTTGATCAAGTTGAAATATATTCATCTAAAAATATCAAAAGCGGATTCAGAGCAACGGGGATCTACCCATTCAACCCAAGAGAAGTACTGAAGCGTGTACCAGAGTATCAAGAAGATGTGGCATCATATGGGATTGACAATGCATTGCTAGACTACTTAAAGCATAGCAGAGAGAAGACTAGCAGTAAAAAAGGAAGAAAAAACGTCGTTTGAGTAAAACTGTCAAAAAGGAAAACGTAGTAAACTATTTGATATATGTCTTGTGTTATCACAAAAATTATATTGCTGTATTTTAAAACTTGCTTAGTAAAAGTGCCATATTTTATATGCTAATATTGTACCAAATAAATCTCATATAATAAAATGCGATTGATTAAAAACTTGTTTTTTTTTTTTGTAAAACACCCAACCAATAACTAACCAATAATGTAATAATTAAAAAAATTGACAACCCTGAGTCTAAAACTGTTTTGTATGGAAATTTAAAAAAGTTTCGGGTATCTTTGGCCACCTCGCTGTAAGCGAAAATATTTAATTTTTTGATATTATTGCCTTTTATACGTCTTCTTTGGCCAGTTTCCTGTCATAGTTCTTAAAGTAAACGGCATTGAGACTATAATTCAAGAGTTATAAGCAGTGGCTAATGTTGACAGAAAGCTGATGTAATTTTGGCTGACTAAAAAAATATATTTTTAGGTAAGAAACTGTCCTAATTTTCGCAATTTCCGTGATTTAACATCAACAGTTGAGGTTTCTGGTGTTAAACAAATATGAAAAACTAATACTTTACTAACAGTTTTTTGGATTTAAAGTTGATTAAGTGCAAAATGTGGCCAATGTTGGCAGGTTTTACGGTATTCCTTTTCTCCACGTTGTCCATGTTTCCCAAAACAACTTTTAATTTATATTATTTTTAGCTTTATATTAGAAAGCGGATTTTTTATATTTAAAAATCTAATAATAAAGCATTTCGTAAGTCTCAGCCGAGGTGCAAATATTTTTCGGTCGCAAATTTATTTAACCGATTAAATCAAAAAACAACACGCATTTTTATTGAACACTTCCTATTAATTCACAAAGTACCTATTTTATTTGTTTATATAAAAAGTATATATTACAATCATAAAACTAAATGGAAACACAAAGTAGGCAAATGTAAAAATGCTGGAGGCAGGCAGCCCTCTCACATGTTTACGTGCCGCACGGCTGTAGGCATTTATTTGAAAGATACGGCCGAGTTACAATACTGTATAGATAATATTACCGTGACTACGTCATTGAGCTACTCAACTCAAGCACGGCTCATATGTTTTATATCTGGGGGCACGGTAGTGCCCCCGCCATGTAGACCAAAACAGCGGCACGGCCGTATCATCATTGCGAGACTTGGTTATATTTTACAAGTTATGTTTTTGACGGCATGTCTTTGTTTAATCATAACGTTATCTTCACACTAGGAATTTTTCCTAAGTAAATACATCGTTGGGGAAGTTTAAATACATTAATTTCACAGGGACAAACATCCAGACCTGGAACAATTATTTGTAGGTAATACAAATTTTTGTTCCATGTGGGATTCGAACCTGCGGCGCTCAGCGCTACAAATCATTACCAAGTCACTCCGCCACGGAGCCAAAGGTGAAAGCCAACGATTTTGTATTTTTACTTGATCCGAATTGCTTACGTTCAATTACTCATTTCTAAAAAAAATATGTATGAAATGAAAATTTGCCACCATTACATCATTTAATATTTAAATATTACAATCATAAACATATTTCAAAATTACTTACTACCAAAAATAACCCTTATAAAAGTGATTCGTTTAAAATGCTCGATGGTGCTATAGGTATCTAGTTATAGTATGGTGTAGTATAGCCCTATCGGTGTATCAACGCGATCGCGCGGTGTCGGTGAGAAAAAGTGATACGTCCTGTTGTTGGGATTACCCGGAGCCAAAGATGTTTTATAGGTACAGATACCGTGTTGCTAACACATCGCACCGTTCACAGTGACGCCAGTCTTTGATTCATGTGTGCGTGAGTACCACGTGACGCGCATATCTTACGTACCATGCCTGCATTAGTGTGCGTGACTTCGGTAATAATAGTGCGAATCGATTGCCCAAAAATTTGGGAGATTTTATGTTTCATTCATATTGACATACCTGAGTGTAAAATGTGTGTTCGAGGCGTGTGCATTTGTGTACGTATGTGAATGGGGATATACACACACAAGGGATATGGGTGGTTATGTGTGTTTTATGTAGGTCTGTACGAAAATTGCACTAAAATAGTGAAAATAAGTAATAAAAACTAGATATAATTAATGTAACAGTTAAAAATAAATCAAAAATCACATTAGATATTTATGTATCTAATATATATTGAACTAATCTATTATTATTGAATATATATAGAGTACTACACTTTCGTACCTTAAAACCCAAAATATTGACGCGAAGACATTAAGTATTTTTAATCTTAAGTAAAATGACAAAATTTTTTAATCTTAAGTAAAATACAGAAGTAAGTTTGGTTAAGTGTAAATCCTTCGGCCAAGGATAGCAAATGTTTATTTTTTTTTAAATTTCATATATCGATACAGTTTCATGACTAGATCAAATCATTGCGTAAAATCAATTAAATCCTGCCACTGGAAGACGATAAAAGATTGTGTGTTTAAAGGCTACATTTTGTACTGTAAAACCTGTAAATAAATAAAAAAATATAAAATCAATGTTGATTGTTAATAAGTGCCCTTGACATGAAAGTGAAGTCAACATTATATTATAATTATATAATAAACAATAATATAACATAATTATATAACAAATAATAATATAACATAATTATTATAATAATAAATAATTTAATCACACAACTAAAGCCCTCATTAGTAATGTAACGGTAAAAGAATTTTCAAAATCAGTCAAGTAATTTTTGAGATAAACCAAATAAAACATATTCATAGAAAGTAGTGTCATCTATAATAAAATACATCCTACATTAGACATCTTTAATTATACATAATATTCTAGTGGTAAAAGAATTTTCAAAATCGGTCAAGAACTGTACGAGTTTAGCTAAAAAACATATTCGTTGATGGTAGTGCCCTCTATATTAAAATACATCCTACATTTCAAAGTCATAATAGCATTCTAATGGTGAAATAATTTTTTAAATAGATCAAGTAGTTTTTGAGCACCATTCCAAAAAGCGATTCAGCTTAGCCAACCGCACACACAGTAAAATCATAACCATCCTTTTTCGTTTGTAGTCGGATAAACAACCGGTTCACAACGGTTGCGTATCGGCTGCTTTGGATAAATATCCGTTGTCAACAGTTGCTTTACATCTATTAATGACATTAAAATAGGGAAAACATTTCATACAGTAGGCAACACTCGAATATTATTGCGCAGTATTATTACTTGTATTGACATTCAGCTTTCGTATTATTTTATCAAGAAATACACCAGGAAATTGTATATTTACTTATGAAAAGTGATGTTCTTATCTTTTTCTTTTTTCCAAGAGTAATTTTTACATGATTTAACAGCACAAAAAGTCATTTTCCGAAATTAAAAACACTGGTGCGTGATGTATGTTCGCAGTGAACGTCGCTGGCATAATGGCGGAACGATCGAACGAATACGCCAATATTGGCGCCTTTTAAATGGAAGCGTTTTAGGCGCGCGTACACGGTATCTGTACCTATAAAACATCTTTGCCCGGAGCGTACTGAATCGAACTGCGTCTGCGCATGATGTTTTATAGTATTTTTAAAATAATTATATAAAATAATTGACAAAATAAAACGAGCTAAAAATTTTTTTGGATATTTAACATTACATGTATTTTGATAAAATAATTAAAATAGATATGTTTATAAGCAAATACATGGAAAAAATTACATTGAAGTAGACAGTTTTGGTGATTTTATAATATTATTTTATTAATCGAAATATTATCGTAATTTAGGTTTTGCTATACCCTAAAAGACTATATATTTCATTATAATAACGCTTAAAATAAAGTATTTTAGCTTATAATAATGGTTATATTCAACCTGAAAGATAACTCTGATGCATATTTTCGTAAAACACAGTGAAGGGATTATCTTCGTCCTAAAAAACCGTCATTAAAAACTATGATTTTGCATTGCTATGTACTAAATAAATACTTCATCTTTCTAAAGCCCTAATTTTCAGAACCGATATCCCACAGCCCTCTCTAGTCCAGAGATGGAATCGCTTTTTGTCATTCAGTTAATTTATAAGTGTATACAATATAATGATCAAGATTTTTCCTGTGTCTATTTATATGTATATATAACGTTTGTTTGTTTCTGTAGATTTCCAACAAAATATCCGATGGTTTTTAAA